TCACACACAGAATTTCATATCCACACCGCTAAAAGCAAAGTGGAGCAAACCTAAATTTAATAAGCAGACCATGGAATCTTGGAAGTCTGCTGTCTTTGTTCACATGAAAGTGAAATCATCCTACTGATGTGAATGGAAGGAATAATATTGAAAACTGCACAGATATTCTAACTATTGCTATTACCTCTAGTCCAGACTATCAAGCCAAAAAACATTTTAAATTACAGTTTTGCTTAAAATGTACACAACCATAAACCAGAGTTGTTAACTCCTATTAGTAATCTGAGATACGAACAGATTAGTACTAGAATCTACTTCAAACTTCTATTTCCAGTGAAAACTCATTTTCTAAAGCCTAAATCAGAGGTCCTCAAACCTTTAATGTACGTAACAACCGCAGGGGTGGGTTCTGAAAGGCAGATTCTGTAGCCCCCAGAGCCCCTCCAGAGACTGTTCAGTTAGCGGGGGAGGGAGTGGCGAGCTGCATCCACGGATATGTATTTCCAACTAGCTGTTCTAGTGACTCTGATGCTGTCCTACTATAACTTTTCCAAAAAAAGGTTCAGTTCATAATCTTAAGTTTTTGTACTGAACGGAATCATGTTTTTCTTAGTTTTTCTTTTTGATATCAAGAATAATTTCCAAAGAGAGATTTAAAAATAAATTTCTTGTATCATCTCTGATGCTAAATGCATGTTATTATCTCAATCTCCAACTGCATAATTAAGTATATCCACTTAAGGCCAAATTACTCATAATTCAAAGTTCTCCAAAGCTTGCCCACTAACTGTAGGACCAACCTAATCTTCAGTAATTCAATCATTCTAGATCCAAACCAGGGAACCACTCAAGATATTTTATAGAGATAAAGGTATAAGACTGCTTTATAAATGCTCTCCAATGCAACCTAAGTTTTCCTGATCTTTCCCTAAAGTTGTCGGTCTTTAGGCAGGTCAGTAATAATGTTGTTTTGAATTGAAATAAAGGGAAAAGAGTCTTAGGGTGTGCAAAAGTGCTGATTCTTTGAAGAGAATTATTTTCTTAACAAAAAAGTAATTCGTCCAGCTGACCTATTATCTCTTATTTTTTTAGTGATAAAGAATGAAAGCATAAAGAATGAAAATGACCATCCCTATAAATATTCATATCTGGTGGTAATAAAACCACCATTTAAAAAGCAGCAGGCATGCTGGTATTATATATTTAGCTGTCAGTATACTTCATATTTCCCTAATGTGCTGCTGCTTCAGACAGTGGCCTTACCCTGATCCTTTCATTAACACTTCTCATTAATGAAAGTGGAATAGAGGGTAATTTTCTGTTGGTCACTGCCCTTTTAACTTCTTGAGAGTTTAACTCTGCTTAAGCCAAATAGTCTACACAAATGCCTATGCTGTTGACAGGACAAATGTTTTGGCACAAAAAAAGCTGACTGAGCTTCAGAAGCACTTGTCTCAAAGACACACGGTAATCATTAGTAAACCACAAGGTATAGAGAAGAAACAGTGTGGCAGAAAGAGTAGTCAGGTTTGGGAGAACACTAGGACCCAAGATGTTTGTAGGAGGATAGCAAGAGAAAGGCACCAATGATATTTTCCTCTCTTGGACATCTATAGTGCACATGTTTAGCATATTAAAGCCTCTGAGAAGTTCTAGAATAAGGACACTTCTTTATCTCAAAATTTCCCAATTTTGCTTGACCACAAAATCTTTTATCTTCAACAATACCTTGAATATGTTCTACTAAATATGTGATTCGGGCAAGAAATCTAACCTGAGTCATTATTTCCTCATATGCAAAGAAGATACAACATCAGCCTACCTATCTCACAAGATTGGCGGGAACAAACACGTTGGTATCGTACACCTGCTTTGTAAATCATACGTGCTGCTGGTTGTATGCTATCATTACCACTAAGAGTAATAGTGAGTTTAGGAACAGACCTTTCATTCTCTACGTGGGGAGTCAAAAACAAAGAAGCAACGATAGTTGAAGGGAATATTAAATACATTTCCTCCAAAGGTTTCTCATTCTTAAAAGCACAACTGAATTCCAATAATTCTCACAGCAGTAACAAGCCATACAAAAGCACTGCCATCTGCAGGCCACAGGGATGGAATGCTTGCAACGGTTCTTAAGAATGAAGTTTCAAGCCACCAGGCACTCCTGTTCAGCACACGCCTGTAGCCTCTGCAACGGACTTAGCTTTTGAGCACAGGGAGACCGAGGCTCCTTTTGCTGAAGTTCTGAAACTGACTTGAGTAAAAAGTTCTCCTGTCTTCTCTACACAGGACCAACGCTGAGAAATGTGAAGAAAATCACTCTGGCCTTCTGTAAGTACTACATTGTGCTCATACCAAAGTAACCCCAAGGAGTATGGATTTTTTTTTTTTTTTTTTTTTTTTTACAGCCCTTGAGGAAACACTTTAATGATCCGAACAGGCTTTTTTGAGTTTCCTTTCAATGAATTAGAGTAAACCTGCTCTCTCACACATTAAGTTTATGAACAGACTACAAACAGAACAGGCTGTTTACGTAAGTTAACCGGTCAATGCCTCCCTTTCTTTGGAGGACCTAATTAGCTTTATTCAACAATTCACCAATATGACCTAGCAAATCAAAAGGAGCTCCTAATGCCTTCCCCCCCCCCTTTTTTTAATGTTTTATTTATTTTTGATAGAGACAGAGACAGAATGCAAGTGGGTTAGGGGCAGAGAGAGAGGGGGACCCAGAATCCGAAGCAGGTTCCAGGCTCTCAGCGGTCAGCACAGAGCCCGACGCGAGGCTCGAACCCACGGACCGTGAGATCATGACCTGAGCCAACCGGAGCCGAGGTCGGATGCTTAACGGACTGGGCCACCCAGGTGCCCCTAAAGTATATTCATTTTTGAGAGAGACAGCGCGCGAGTGGGGGAGGGGCGGAGGGAGAGCCCGATGCGGGGCTTGAACTCCCAGACTGCGAGGTCGTGACCTGAGCCGAAGGCGGACGCTCAACCCACTGAGCCACCCAGGCGCCCCAGCCTAATGCCTTCCTTAAACGTATGGTGTTCACCTGCCTGTAACATTGGACAACCTGCACCTAGGAAAAATTTTTCCACGGGGCCTTGAAATACGGTTTCTCCGGCACATTCTACAAGGAAAATTACTGTTTCTATGTTTTAGGTTAAAAGATCGTGCCAGAGGTTTCAAAGAGCATCGGGAAGGTGACAAGAGGAGCTGAAAGAAACACAAAGAAACCAGAATACGGGAAGAAACATGTTAAATAGCCACGTGATCTCCAATACCCACAGCGCAAAAGCTTGGGTTTTACGGGTTGGAAAAAGGCAACGTGAAAGTTAGTTTTCACACCCAGACCGACTCACACAGAAAACATTACATCTACAGTCGTCAAAAGCCCAAACGGCTCCATCGTCGGGTGCAGAAAGGGTCAGGAGGCTACCACACCACAACGCAACGAGAAAACGGAGGCGGCACACCCCGTGCGCTCGAGCCGACGCTTCGTGCAACTCCGTGGGACTGCCACTTGTAGGTCAACACCGACACCACTTTGCAACGAGAAAGCTTCTCATGTTACCACCCCCGAAGATCCTGGGGGGCATTTCACGGAATCCGCTATGCTTCAGAGAGAAATCCTGTGCACAGAGCGAAAGCCAGGACCGCAATGAACCCCACACTCGCAGGGCAGCGTTTCCCAAAGCGTGGAACGCACAATAATTTCAGCAGGAACAAGGACGCGCTGTTTATTTTAATAGACAGGTATTTATTTATTTTTTTTTTTATGAGCATTGGAAAAATAACTGGCTTTCCATCATACGGTTTGGGATTTACGTTTCCACCTTAAACAAATGTGTTTAAGAAGGAGGAAAATAGAGGCAGTTCAAAGGAAAAAATTAACACTTGGGAAATAAACAGCAGTACAGATGGTACACGGACGTAGAGGTGCAACGCGAGAGACTTAAATCTGGGAAGCGCCGTCTTAAAAAAAAAAAAAAAAAAAGCCCCTGGCGGGTAGTCGGGAGCGGAGTGCCCTGGGTCACACTCGGGGCGCTGGCTCTGTCGCTAATTTCCGCGAGAACCTCGGGCACAGTTTCTTTCCCCGTCCTTTGGGGCCGGGGTCCGCGTTACAAAATGGGTGGGGGCGTCACACGACACGGAGGCGCCTCGAGGATGCTGTCAAGGGGCGGCGAGGAGGCGGCGACAGGGACCAGCGCTCGGTTCGCCGCACGGCGCTGCACGCCCCGTAGAACGCCCGGAGAGGCGGGCCGCCTCGCTCCGAGTTCGAATCCCGCCTGCGCCACCGACTCGCTGAGGACCCGCAGGCGAGCGACTTCACCGTTTCGAGAAAGGGGCGCGGGGTGTGCAGCCCTACCCTACAGAGAAGCTCGGAGGACTACGGTCGGCGGTTCGCGCACAGAGAGGCGGCCGCGGTGCGGCGCCGCCCGGACCGGAGCCCACCACGGGCCGCCCGGGCCGGCCGGGCCTGGGCTTGACGGGAGCCAGAGGCCGCGCCCCGCACCGGGCATGCGCAGCTCCGCGCGCACCCGGAGAGAAGCCGAGGCCGCCGCCGCGGCCGCGCGTCGAGCGGGCCCTCCCGCCTCAGCCTCCCCATCCGGCCCCGGCCCCCTCAACCGTCGGCCGCAAGCCCCACTCCTCGGCAGACGGCCACCGCTTCCCGGCACTCACCGCTACCAGCGCGGCGGGCTCTCGGCCGCTCCTTCGCCTCAGGCCCGCCCCTGCCGCCTCCACCTCAGCCCACCTGCCCGCCGTAGGACAAAGGCGCCACCAACCGACCGGCGCGGGCACGAGGCAATGGCGGCCGGGGCGGAGAGTGGGGGCAGAGGGCGCGCACGCAGCGGCAGGCGCGGCAATGTCGCAAGAGCGCGCGGGTTTACGGCAGGGCTGAGTTGGGCGTCGATCTCCTTAGCAATGAGAGAGGGGAAGTAGCTATGGGGCGGCGGTTGAGAACGCTAGGGGTTGCCTAGTAACGGCGTCCCCCGCTAAGGATGGGTCCCCGGCCTGGTTCCCTGATCCCAGGAGGCTGCGCCTTTCTTTTAGTCTTCGGAGCGTCTTCCTTCCATTCTAACTGTGGAAACGGCTCACTTAAATCCTGAAATACTTTTAGTTTTTCATAAAACGAAACAAAACCCGAAACACCGTTAGATATGTGTATTGGAGAGTAGCGTACATACTCCTGCAACCTCCGGATCTCAAGGAACAAAGACAGCAGAGAGGTAGAGAAAATGTTTTATTTAAATTCACATTTAAATAGGCAATGTACCCTATTAGTTTCGCTGGCAAGAGGTAGCTTCTGGAGATAGAGTCACAGGTTCTTTTTGAGTTATTTCTTCCGGGAATATTTATTCAACGTCAAAAAAAAAAAATTTCACGGAATGTAGGTGCTGACTGTGAAGCATGTAAAATGTTGTATCGTTCATTTAACTCCCAGAATAATTTGTCGGAGGGAATGGAGTTTGCTCACATGATTGTAAATATTATAATCACAGCTATTGCTATATGAATCAGGTAGGCTTTTTGATTAGTTAGGAAATGCCTCACACCCTGTGGGGGTCTAGTTTTTCTCCTTGTGAACAGTGCATGCCAAGCAAACACGGTGGCTGTGGAATTTGAACGCTATGGGAAGTCATATTTCTCTGACAACCACTCATTTGCTCATCCCTTCACTCGTTTGCTCATTGAATGTTTACACTTACTAGGTGGCCCTATGCTTTATTAGACACCTACTTTCAAAGCACTATCATGAGCAAATGCAGACCCATGTCTGCTATCTTGGAGATTATTGTCTAGTGGAAAGAGAAAATAGGTGAATTATCACACTTGAGTGTGTAATTACAGGTAAATGCTTGAAGGAAGGAAACAGGGATGCATTGTATTGTCTAGTTTTTCTCACCTGTGACAAATGCAGGGTGTGCCTGATGCCTATGGACAAATACACTTGGTCTTTAGATCTTTAATAATTCAAAATTCATCATGGCTCATTTTCTTCATCTGTAAAATAAGGATAAGAATAGCACGTGCCTCTGGGGCGCCTGGATGGCTTACTCGGTTAAGCGTCCAACTTCACCCAGGGTGGTGATCTTGCGGTCGGTGAGTTCGAGCCCCGTATCGAGCTCTGTGCTGACAGCTCAGAGCCTGGAGCCTGCTAAGGAATCTGCGTCTCCTGGTGTCTCTGCTCCTCCTCCACTCACACTCTGTCTCTCTCTCTCTCAAAAATAAATAAACAAAAAAATTAAAAAAGAATAGCACGTGCCTCATAAAGTCAGTGTGAAGTTAAATTAGGTAGTAAGTATCATACACAAAGCTCTTAGACTCATGCTTAGCTCATCGTGCAGGCTCATCAGCTCATAGATTTCTTATGATCCCACGGTTTGTGTCTTTCTATAGATTTGTTTGTGTTCACAGTTTGTGAGACATCCCTAGAAAACAGCGGCCCTTGGGTTTTCATCGACTACTCTGTTCACAGGTGGAATAAATAGAATAAATGTCACTGGGAGTTGATCAACGAGTCCTTGTTCCCCAGGACACTGGGGTGGGAGTGGAGGGGACTTTGTTGTGGTATTAACTTCCTGGCGAACCCCAACAAGAGCTAATAGCTCCTCAGAGCAAGATTCTGTCAACAAAGTGGATCAGAATGGGACTATCTCCACTCAACAAGTTCTGTTGTATGTTGAAAGGAGTGGCTCAGGGAACTATGGAATAGCCGCTCTAAGACTCCTCTCAGCCATCAGGGACATCAGTCTCTATGACACAGCCATCAATGTCAGTACGTTTTGTACAGCTGTGGAAGTCAGAGTAATGACCTCTGAAGAGTGTCCATGTCCTAATCTCTGGAGCCTGTGAGTGTATCCCCTTACATGGCAACAGGTGTTTTGCAGATGTCATTAGGTTAAGGATCTTGAGATTGGAAGAGGATTCTGAATTACCCAGGTGGGCCCAATGTCATCACAAGGGTCCTTATAAGAGGGGAGTAGGCGGTCAGAGTCAGAGATGTGATGATGGAAGCAGGGGGTAGTGAGGGAGAAAGAGAGAGGGAGAGAGAGAGGAAGATGTTACTACACTACTGGCTTTGAAGGTGGAGGATGGGGCCTTGAGACAAGGAATGCAGGAGGCCTCTAGCAGCTGGAAAAAGCAAGAAAACAGATTTATCCCTAGAAACTCTAGAAGGAACACAGCCTTGCTGACTCATTTTTAACTTTTGACTTTCCTCCCTTCAGAAAACTTAATAAATATATATTTTCCTTTTCTAATGTTACCATGGTTTATCTTTCCCCTTTTAATAATTTAATCTGATTAACATTGATTTTGATGTATGTTGTCACATCATACATTATGTGTTATTTTTGATTCCAAATTAGATTCCTTCTTTCCCCAAGCTATTTCAACACCAAATAACAGCTCCAAACCATTTTTATATCTCTTCTCTATCATATAGCACTTTTTATAGGAGGATTAAATTCAGGGCTCCTCATTGATTCTGTAATATCTCTTTCTTTTGGAGACAATTCACAGAGTTTCAATTATTATTACTCTAGATAGCACATATTTAGTTGTTTTGTTTCCAGAGCCAAGTGAAATATACTTACAAAAGTGTTTAAAGAGCAGGTAATGTTTAAAGAGAGAAAATGTTTAAAGAGCAGGTAAATAAATCTTCTATGCTACTCAGATTGCCAGGGCAATCTGATTAATCCCTCCCTTCACATGAAATTCTCAAAGGATCCGTCTCTAAATTTGCCTTCATATGTTGGGGTATAGAAATACAATACAAGTATAATAATTATAAAAATGGTTAAGGATGATGGCAGAGAGTAGGACAGTTCGGTCGAGTCCTGGCTCATTGTTTCCTGGAGATTCTGGTTCAGTGAGTCTAGGGTAGAATACTTAACAATAACAACAGCAACAACAACAAAACTCTCCTCCCAGGTGTACACACCATGGGGCTTGGTGATTACAGAGATAACATACCTAAAAGGCACTTACCATGTTTCAGGGTCTCTCCCAAATTACTCAAACTGAGAATGAGAGTTGGAACTGGATAACTGGCCGAGTCAGTAGAGGCAGAATCTGAAGGATGAATGTTCCAGATTCAAAACTTGATGATGTAAAGCAAAAAAGCATTTTATTCTTGTTCATAGTTTCTGGGGCCCAGGAATTCGGGAAGGGCTTGGTTGAGTGGTTGTGGCTCTGAGTTAGACAGTAGCTGCAGCTGGAACAGCAGGGGGGGCTGGAGCAGCTGGAGGCTGGCTGGACATCTTTCTCTCCCCACATAGTCTCTGGGTCTTTCCATGTAGTCTCTGCATGGGCTACTTTGGGTTTCCTCATAGCATGGTGATCTCAGAGCAGTTATGCTGCTTACATGGTGCTCAGGGCCCTGGGAGAGTGGCTGAAAGAACCAGGCAGGAGCTGTATTGCCTTCTGTGACATAGCCTCAGAAGTCATATAGCCTCATAATGCTTGTCATATTCAAGGCCCTCCACTCAATGGGAGGAATAGCAAGGACTCGCTGGGAGCAGAGCCTGTCGGTGGAAGATGAAGTCGTAGCCACCTTTAGGGAATACAGTCGGCCACAGAGTTATCCCTCGTCCCCATATCCAGTGCACCAGATCCTTCCCCCTAACGTTTCTCGAATGGGTCCGCCCTGACCACCACCTAGTTCAAGCTGTCAGCACTCCTAGCTTGCACCTCTGCTTATCTCCAAACTAGGCTCCTTGCTTTCACCTTTTCTTCTCTCCAGTTCTTTCTTTTCTATAGCTAGAATATTTTTATACAACAAATCTATTGTCACCCCCACTGTCCTTGGGATAGTGATAAAGCTGGTCCTGATGATCTGGAACTTTGCCATTCAGACTCACATTAGGCATAATGTGTGTCTCCCTTGTTTTCCAACCTGCAACCCCACTGGTATCATTTCAGGCTCTACATTCACCACATTCTTTCCACCTCAGGGCCTTTGTACCTCCTGTTGCCTCCACTTAAATACTCTCCCAACCCTTTTCCTGCATCACCATCCTCCCTCCTCCCTTCTCTGCCACCTCTTTAACTAATTCTATTCATCCTTAAGGTTGTGAAAGTAATTAAAGGGAAACCTCACTTAGAGTGGAGTTGGGAAGCTCTCAAGGGGAAGCTCTCACCCACAAACTTTCCAGCGCAGATCCTTTTGCTTTCCTGGGCAGGAAGAAATTCACTGGACTACCCCAACAGGAAGAAGAAAGATTTCCTCCTTGCCCAGCAACAGCCCAGCCAACGAGAAACTGCCACCACTCAGCCAATGAGAAACCGTTACCACCCTGAACTCCTGCTTTGCTTCAATGGAATTTTGTTCAGAGCAGCCCCCTCCAACTTCCTCCTTTCTCTCCATGGAGTAATGTGCCCCCATTTTGTTCTCCAGACTCGCCCTCGGTTTACCATAGCTTGTATGTCCCAAATAAATTCCTCTGCAATTCCCAAATAAACTCATTTTTTTTTTTGGTAAAATAACTGGCTATTTTATTTTTAAGGTTAATAAAATTTTCTTTAAATCGTACTCCCCCTCTCCACTAGGATAGAGAGACAGTAGCCTGGTAGCTAGGATCATGGACCATGGATTCAGACTACTTGAGTACAAATTCTGGCTCTACCATCTACTCACTGTGTGACTTAGGGCATGTTGCCTAACCTCTCTGTGCCTCAGTTTTTTTCCTTTGTAAAACAGAGATAGTAATAGGATCTATCTATCTAAAAGGATTACTGTGAATGTTCAAACCCACATATGTAAGTCAACATCTGTAAAACACTTAGGGGGCACCTGCCTGGGTGGGTCAGTCAGTTAAGCGTCCAACTCTTGATCTCAGCTCAAGTCTTGATCTCAGAGTCCTGAGTTCAAGTCCTGCATTGGGCTCCATGTTGGGCGTGAAGCCTATTTAAAAAAAAAAAACCCACGAAAAACACTTAGCACACTTAGTGCTTGTCGTGGACTGCACAATAAGCATTAGCTGGTCGTGGTTTGTCAGCCTGTTGCCCACTCGTGTAGAACTGTGCACTTCTGTCTTGAAATTACTCTTCCAATCAGAGACCATTTAATGGGATGTGAGGAGAATTTGGGGAGTACCTCCTAATCTGTGACTTTGGACCCACAGCTAAGGATAAAGGGGTGCTAGATATTTTATAAAGCAGAGGCTTTAACCCGGGGTTCATGAACTTGGATGGGAAAAAACTGCTTCTTAACTTTCATTTACCTCTGACTAAAATGAAGCCTTTCTATCTTCCTTTCTTTCTCTTTCTTTCTTCTTTCTTTCCTTCTTTCTTTCTTTCTTTCTTTCTTTCTTTCTTTCTTTCTTTCTTTCTTTCTTGTTTCTTTCTTTCAAGAGCATGGACGGGGGGAGAGGAAGGAGAGAGAGGGAGAGAGAGAAGGAATCTTAAGCAGTTTCCATGCTCAGCATGGGGCCCAATGGGAGCTCCATCCCACAACCCTGGGATCATGACCTGAGCCAAAATCAAGAATCGGATGCTCAACCAGCTGAGCCACCCAGGTGCCCCAAAGCGTTTCTTTCACTTATGAATGCAAGCAACAAACCGTGATACTGTCAGAGCCTGCTACACTGTCTCCAGTAGAAATCACAGATATTTCATATCACATTACAATTATTGCAGATGTCTTGAATTATTGTTTGCACTCATCACTGCTTTGAAATTATGGAAATTTTAGACTTGCCACTAGATCTTATTATGTAATCCATTAATGAAGATGCTCAGTGCTACATCACAGATTTGTCTTTTTACTATTTTGATGACTGTATTTCAATATACATAATTGGTTTTCTTTGTACCTCTATTTATCACATTTTATGCATTTAGAAATGTTTTTCTAAAAAGGGTCCAAGGCTTCTCCATATGGTCAGAGGACTCCACAACACACACACACACACACACACACACACACACACACACACACACATGCACACACGAGAATCCTGCTCTAAAGAAAGTAGTTAATACCTGGGATGAGAAGCTCTCCTTAGGGCATTCTAAGAGGTGAGCACTTTCTTTGAGTCAGCACTCTCTGAGGACTCTCTCTCTCTCTATATATATATCCTTATTTAATCCTCCCAGCATTTTAAGAGGTAGGCATTATTACTATCCCTGAGATGTAGGGAAGAAAATTGAAGCTTGGGTAATTGGGTAAATTACCTACGGTCACAGAGCAGTGTACCAGTGGTCGAGTTCATGCTTTTAATGCCTCCAACATCCTGCTTTCCATATAAATCTAGTCCTCCCTTTATCCTGCAAAGCAATTCTCCCATTCTTTCATTTTGCAGATGGGGAAACTGAGTCTCAAAGAGAATAAGTTATTTTTCCTCACAGTTAAGCAACATAGGATTCAAACCCACATCTGTCAGGCTCCAAAGCGCACGTGTTCCACTGTGCCCTGCAGAGCGAATTCAAGGTGCCGTGCAAATGTAGCCTGGGAGAGCTGACAGTTTATCAGATATATGACTCAGGTAGACCTTTCTATGCCATCCATCAGGATTAGATGGCTTGGAAAGAAATGACTGCTTTTACTGCTCATGCTGTGGGGTTACAGAGCAACACGGGGTGTGTCTTCATGGATGTGAAATACACACTGGCATTTGGGAAACTCCATTAGCCACTATTGTCTAGACAGAGAGTTAAAAGTGGGAAGCCGGAGATGTAAGAATACACAAGTAGGAAGTTCTGTGTCGGCCTCACACTGAAACAGAAAGAACCATGATTTTGAAACCATTAAAGATGAAGTTGGTGAGGATCAAAGTGGTCTTGTGACCTGTAAATCTAATGAAATGAAAATGAGGTAATGGTATGTTTTATAACTATTGAGGGTCTGAGAAGCTGGAAATTATCTCGGCGTGAATACCATAAGGGAACAGGGAACAATGGAAGCCATCTAGAAAAGGATCTTTATTCAGCTTTATTTATAGCAGGTATTCATCTGGTCTTTCAATGCGGGGACCACAAAGGGGCTTGTCTCACCTTGCTGGGTGTATGAAAGCACAAGGCTTGTCACAGTCCCTTCTGCTTCCTCTCATAGAGCCCAGCCTGTACCAAGGAGGGAAAGGCAGAGGGTGCCTTGAGGGGGGTGCTGAATGGCTGGTGCTGCGGGAGAAGGCAGAAGAGCAGAGAGAAGGGGAGAGGAGAAGAAAAGAACTTAGAAGACTCTTCCTGTCATTGCCCAAACCCCATTCTCTAGACCTGAGCCGTCTAACTAGCGATGTGTGACGATTTACATTTATTAAGAGTAAATGGAATTAAATACCCACGGCCTTAGCTGCGTTAAGTGTTTTCCAAGTTAATAGGCACATATAGCTTAGCTAGCCACTCTCACATTCGATACAGATCTGGAGTGTTGGCATCAGCACAGAAGTTTCTGTTGGACGGTGTTGATAAATACCCAATTCCTCCCATGAGTCTAGGAGCATTCAAAGTCCAGGACGAGTGGAACCCGATGGCTGTAACATCCCTGGCCAATGGGAAGGTAGAGGATTAGAGTCTTCTGAAATGGCACACGCGTCCCACGTTCTGTCTCACCTTAGGTGAGCTACCTGTACTCTCTAGGATGCAGTTTTGTTCTATTTCTAATATTAATGATTAATAACATTTTTTTACTGGATATTACAAGAAAATTACATAATTAATTAACCCTTATAACAACCGTGTGAGCTATTAGGTCCATTTTACAGAGGAGAAACCAGAGATTAAAGATGTACTCGGAGGGAGGGGTGGGTGGGTGATGGGTATTGAGGAGGGCACCTGTTGGGATGAGCACTCGGTGTTGTATGGAAACCAGTTTGACAATAAATTTCATAATAAAAAAAATAAAGATGTACTCAAGGGGGCGCCTGGGTGGCTCAGCTGGTTAAGCATCTGAGTCTTGATTTCGGTTCGGGTCATGATCTCACGGGTTCACGAGATTGAACCCTGCATCAGGCTCTGTGCTGACAGTGTGGAGCTTGCATGGGATTGTCTCTCCCCCTCTCTCTCTGCCCCTCCACTCGTGCTCTCTCGCTCTCTCAAAAATAAATAAATAAAAAAGAAAAAGGAAAGAGTGTACTCAAGGCCACAGTCAGGAGCAGAAGAAGGCTTTGCACCCAGGCCTCTGACTTCAGAGGCCGCATTTCTGTTCATCAGTCTACACGGTCTCCTGCTGCTAGTTTCTCATCTGCAAACCAAGAGGTCTTACGTAGTTGGAAGTCTCGCAGAAACAGAAACTGAGATAAGGATTTGAGTGCAAGTAATTTGGAAGGTGACCCCACGAAGCATCAGTGGGGGTGTGGGGAAGTGAAACAGGGAGGGAAGGAAGCCATTACGGGCTAGGTTCATGTGCTGATTGTGCTGTGGACAACTGGGGGTTAATCTTCACGGGGCGGTAGTGTAGAACACACACCACTGAGTTATCCCACTCAAGGGACGAGGGAACTAGGGTACTCACTCGCTGACTCTTTGTCTGTCATTGGTAGAAGGCTGCTCCCAGGGGCATTCCCCCAGCCACTTCTGTCCTGCCCCCTTCAAGGGCTAAATATGCTCAGGCGGCCTTAAAAGGCCCTTCAGGAGAAGGTCACAGGTCCTTGAAGGAGGGACAGGAAGAGTGAATATGGAGGACATAAAAGTGGGGTAGCAGCAAGGTGCTACCTAGGGGATTGTATAAGTGGTCTTTCTGCTCTAACAAACTAGCGGCTAGTGGTGCTTGATATTAGGTATTTTACATCATAAAATCTGAAACTATAAAGATTAGCAGTCTTCCAGAGCATGGCTATGGGGAGAGCCTCGAGGTACAATCAGACATCTGAGCTGATTTTCAAGATGGGTGACACAGTATGGGGTGCCTGGGTGGCTCAGTCGGTTAAGCATCAGACTTCGGCTCAGGTCATGATCTCACGGTTCGTGAGTTCAAGGCCCACATTGGGTTCTGTGCTGACAGCTCAGAGCCTGGAGACTGCTTCGGATTCTGTGTCTCCCTCTCTCTCTGCCCCTCCCCTACTCGCGCTCTGTCTCTCTCAAAAATAAATAAGCATTAAAAAATTAAAAATATGGGTGACATAGTAAAGGGTTAACATTGAAATCATACAAACAGCTCTTCATTAGGGCTGGGAGTTATCTAATTCAATGCTATAACCTCAAAAGTGACATATAGCAAATGCTCAATGAATATTTGTTGAATGAACACATGAATGAATGAAATTGTTAAGAAAAAGACATTCAGTAAAACAATGGGCAAAGGATATATTCAGTTAGTTCATGAAGGAGGAAACCCAAATGGTTAATAAGCATTTGATAGGATGCTCAATTTTAATTATAACTGAGAAAATGTAAATCAAAGCCATGAGACCTCTCTCTTCACCCATTAACTGTCAAATATTAAAATGAATGACAACATCTAGTGATAGAGAGCATACAAAGCAAAGGTCCCTTCACACTTGTACATTTCCCAAGTGTTT